TTCTCTCTTCTCATTCTCTCATCTCCCTCTCCCTTTCTCTCTCTCCTTTCTTCCCCTTTTTATTTTCTCTCCCCCTTTATCTGTCCTTCTCTCTCTTTTTTCTTTTCTTTGTCCTCTCTCTCTGTCTTTGTATGTGTGCCTCTCTCTGCATCTCTCTCTTCTCTCTCCCTTTCCCTCTCTTCCTTTCTCTCTTTTCTCTCTCTCTATCTCTTTTCTTTCTCTCTTCTCATTCTCTCATCTCCCTCTCCCTTTCTCTCTCTTTCCTCTCTTTTCTCTCTCTGTCTCTTTTTCTGTCTCTGTTTCTCTCTGTCTTTCTATGTCTCTCTACCTCTTTGTCTCTCTCTTTCTCTTCATCTCTCTCTCTCTGTCTCTCTCTCTCTCTGTCTCTCTCTTTCTCTCTCTCTCTGTCTCTCTGTCTCTCTCTGTCTCTCTCTCTCTCTCTCTCTCTCTGTCTCTCTCTCTCTCTCTCCCCCCCCTCTCTATCTCCTTCTCCCTTCCCATACTTCATCTTCAAAGTTCATTTCAAATGTTACTTCTTTCCTGCTTGCTCCAGATTCGGGTGCCATCTGGCCAAAATTACCTTGCCTATATAAAGTAGATTTTATGTATACCTATCTGTGTGAGCGCCGTCTCACTCAATAGAATGAAAACTCCTTGAAGGCAAGGGCTGATTCCTGTCTGTTTCCATATGCCCAGTGCCTGGCACACAGTGAGTGCTTAATAAATGCTTGCTGAATTGGCTGATTGACTGATGACCACAAAGGGCTGTGTAAATGTGAGGGAGAGCCACATAGCTCCAGGATGGCCAGCCAGGAAAGCTGGCTGCTTTGCTTTGTTTACCAGCTGATGTTGGCCTGGGGTCTGGGATACTGAGAAAGCACCTCTGGGTTGGGGAGGTGGATGTAGGGTAGGATTAACTAATGCTCACATCTCACCCTCCATCCCACTCACTCCTCTGTCCCTTCTCTCCCTCCCAGGTGTGGTTCAGTAACCGCAGGGCACGGTGGCGTAAGCAGGCAGGCGCCAATCAGCTTGCAGCATTCAACCACCTTCTCCCAGGAGGCTTCCCACCTACAGGCATGCCCACGATCCCCCCGTATCAACTGCCGGACTCCACCTACCCCAGTACCACCATTTCCCAAGGTGAGTGGGACCCAGGAGTTGACAAGTACTCCCTTCCCCTTTCTTCCTCTGGACTTTCTCCTGTGCTCCCCTCCCACCTCCCTCTGATCCCCCAGGAAACAGCACCTGCTGCAGCCAATCTTGTCCCGGAACCATGACGTCAGACAGCAGCTGTGGCCACACAGGGCCAAATCACCCTGAGGAAGGAGTGCTAAAGGCCTGGCCCAGCCTCCAGATGTTTCCAGGGTATCTAGCTCTTTGGCAGAGAGCAGACCAACCCTCTGGGGAACTGACAGAAACATTTCTCATCTGGGAATTTGGCATTGTGGACAGACACAGCTTGGGCCCATCCTGGGGGGGGGGGCAGGAATGGGAAGGCTGGGACAATTTGTCTGCACCACTTAGTCTCCCAAATCTATAGCAGGTGCAAGAAAAAGACTTCTGGTTTACTAAATCCAGTTGGGTTGGGATATCTAAGAGGGTCTCATTCACCCAGTGGCTTTGGATTCATGAGAATTTGTTTGGCCTGCTTGGGGAAGAGGGGTTCCCTTTCCACAGCTGGGGCTCTACTGGTTTGGAGTTAGAAGGCCAGGGTTCAAACCCCAGCTCTGTTGTGCCCTCTGTTACCTTGGATAACTTACTGACCCTCAGTGAACTTCAATTTTCTTCATTATAAAGTAGTTGAAAATCTTGTGTTCCTTGATCACCTTCCACTCTGACCTTCTATGTTCTAAGGCCCCTCCCAGCTCTGACATTCTGTGTTCTAAGGGCCCCTTCCAGCTCTGTCATTCTGTGTTCTAAGGCCCCTCCCAGCTCTGACATTCTATGTTCTAAGGGCCCCTCCTAGCTCTGATGTTCTGTGTTCTAAGGGCCCTCCCAGCTCCAAGATCCCTTCAAACTCCAACATTCTTTGTTCTAACATTCTATCTTCTGACATTCTCTATTCTAAGCTCCCTCCCAGCTCTAGCATTCTACATTCCAAGGCCTCTTCCACCCCTGAAATTCTTTGATCCTATAATTCTAAGGCATCTTCCTGGTCTCTTGGCAGATGGGGGAAGCACAGTGCACCGGCCCCAGCCCCTCCCGCCGTCCACCATGCACCAAGGGGGCCTGGCTGCAGCTGCCGCAGCCGCTGACACCAGCTCTGCCTATGGGGCCCGCCACAGCTTCTCCAGCTACTCAGACAGCTTCATGAACCCGGCAGCCCCCACCAACCACATGAATGCCGTCAGCAGCGGGCTATCTCCCCAGGTATGTACCTATGCACTGTTACTCCCACTTTGAGATCCATTCAGAAAGGAAGACATCACACTTGGACAACACAGATGGTCAGAGGCACCTCCTGATGAGGCAGGGATGCTATTGACTGTTGAAAACAACTAGCTGAGTGACCCTGGGCAAGTCACTTAACCTCTGTTTGCCTCAGTTTCCCCCTCTGTAAAATGAGGATAATAACAGCACCCACCTCCCAGGGTTGTTGTGAGGATCAAATGAGATAATATTTGTGAAAGTGCTTAGCACAGTGCCCAGGACACAGTAGGCATTTGTTCTCTTACTTCCCTCCCTATTCAACAATCCTATGGGGGAGGGGGTATGAGGTGGGCAGGCTCTCCCCAGAAGCCTAAGGTCCTTGCGCAGTTTCAGTCTGAGCTTCAGGAAATGAAGACTGTGTGTCCCTACACCTGCAGACTTCAATGCTACCTTGACCTTCACAAGGGGTTATATCTGGTTGTGTTGTTGACAACTGTCTCCTGGTCTCCCTTCAGTTTCTCTTGCTCACATGGAGAGAGAGTTTCCACAACAGATGGTGCTTCCTGTCGGTCAGGTGCCAACCAGCAAACATTTTTTGAATGAATTGAATCTAGGCCTTATCAGGAACCAAAGGGCAGACCCCACCCCATGGACATGTTCCTCTTGCCCAACCTGCTCACACAGCCCTTATCAAAGGGCCTGTTTCATTTTGTCCAGATCTACTTGACCTCCTAAATAGTCAGCCAATGAAAAGAAGGCCTAATGAGGACATTTCATAGGCTGTGGGAGTGGTCCCTATGTTGCTTATAGGATATTGCTTGTGGTTGGGGGTCTAGGACTAGAACCTTCCCCTGACTCCATAGTGGTGGTCTACCAGTAACAAATAGGAATGGTGCAGGCTATCCCATTGTCCAAGGGACAAACCAAGGGTCCATAAGACTGGAGCTTTGTCCTAACCTTGCCCTTTGGAATCAAACCCCTTTGAGAATGGTGATTAGCTGCCTGAATGAATGGGGTAGGGGGAGAACTACAAGAGACCTTGGAATCTGCTCCTGGGGGATGACCTGTCCTAGCCACAGGTCAGGATTGCTTTCAATGGTGGAAGTGAGAGGCTGTTATAGACAACTTTGAAGAAACTTGCAGGTCCATATTGGGTTACCATAGTCATTTCTTGAATATCTAAGACAATTTTTCCCATAAATTTTCTTTTATTTATTTTGAACTTTACAAATATCAATAAACATGAACATTTCTGTTCATAAAGAACAAAAAAAGAGGATTGTCTATGAAACCACGAATCTCTATGGCAGCTTGGTTTTAAGTATATATTAAATTTAACCCAGTAGTACCAACAATGCTGCCACTCTGTGCTCTCTTGAACTCGTTCCTTTTCTCTTTTCTATGCATTTTGGATAGTTTCATTGACGCTTCCTTTTTTACTCTTTTTTTCCCCTCTATCACTACTACCCTACCTCCTCACCCCCATGACTCTTCCCTCAACAAATAAAAGCATACCATGTAACAATTAAGTATAAGTAAATCCATGTATTAGTTGTATCTGAAAATGTATGTCAGATTCTACCCCTATAGTCCATCACCTCTCTGCCAGGAGGCAGGTGGCGTTCTTTATTATTGGTCCTCTGGAATTGTGGTTGGTCATTGAATTGATCACAGTTCCTAAGTCTTTCAAAGCTGTTTGTCTTTACAGTGTTATTATTGCATTCATTGTTCTTCTGGACTTGCTCACTTCCCTCTGCATCAGTCCATATAAGTCTTACCAGGTTTCTCTGAAGTCACTGCATTCATCACTTCTTAAAACACATAGTGTTCCATCATAACCATATATTGTAATTTGTTCATCTATTCTCTAAATGTTGGATACCTCCTTAGATTCCAATTCTAGGTTATAACAAAAAGTACTATTCTGAATATTTTGTACATATTGCAACAGATTTTTTAATTCCAGAATGTTTTTTCCCTATCATCCACCATGCTCCCAAGTCTCCTCTCCTTGATATCAACTGGTCAGAGGTCAGAAAATGTAAACTCATTTCCATATCAGCAAAAGAAAAATGTAAAAGGTAAGGTACATGCGTTCCCTAAAAATGGGACTTTCAAAGTCATATTAATTTTTTTTTAGTTATCCCTAATTTTGGATAAATCCATCTGCTTTTTCATTAGTACCAATGATTACAATTTTTTAGACTTCAGATTTCCTGATTGTGATATTCTAAACATTCTCAGGAATGTAATTTCCTGGCCTTCATCTAGAGCAATGCATCCTTACTCCTGTGCCGTCCTTTATATGCCCAAATGGCACTTTTAGCATGGCAGCCACAGGGCCTGTGTTTTGATTTTACATCTGGCCAGTAGGGAAGCCCAGACTGCCCCAAGCCAGTCACACCCTCTCACCCCAAGACTCAAGGTTTACATTAGGGGGTATAGCCTGTAGAGCTAAGCTTTTCCGATGAAAGCTAATTGGCCCCAGTGGGGATTGAACCCATGACCTTGGACTCATTAGCCCTGAGGGCTAACCAGCTGAGTTAACCTTTAGAAGTAGGTAGATAGACACAACAGAAACTCCAGCAAGGATGGGTGAGAGCAGGCTGTAGAGACCCAGGAGTTGGAGGGGATTGGGGAGGATTGGTTCTGCTTCTTACAGGAGATTGTTAATGGTCTAGACAATGTTTGTTGAAAGAAATGAGTATGTAGGAGGAACCGATAAGGTATATTTCATCTGAGAGGAATGGGGAAGCACTTGGAATGTAGAATTTCAGAGCTAGGGGTGCCTTAGAACAGAGAATTTCAGAGCTAGAAAGGCCCTTAGAACACAGGATGTCAGTGCTGGGAGGGCTTTAGAACACAGAATGTCAGAGCTAGGAGGGACCTTAGTATAAGGAGGGAGTGAACAGGGAACCAGGTGACGGGAATTTTGAGGAAGCTTGTGGTATAGTGGAAAGAGCTCTGGGCCTGGAGTCAGGAAGACCTGAGTCCAAATCCAGTCTTAGACACTGACTAGCTGTTTGATCCTGGACAAGTCCCACATTTTACAGATGAGGAAACTGAGACCCAGGGAGTTAGGAAATTGCCAAAGGCTATTTAGGCAATAAAGTGTCAGATGTGGGATTTGAAAGCACAATTCAAATGTTCATTTGACTCCAGATCTAGTGTCCTTTCCATTGTTCAGTTTCTTTGGCTCCCATCAATTTATGATTTGCTATTTCACCAAAGTTTTTAAAAAAAAAGCCAAGAAACAGAAACACTTCCCATCAGACACTTTGTAGACCGGATTCCCAGAGTTCTCTGGTGACAACTGATATCAAGGCTATCAAATTTTAAACAGTAGTAGAATGCTAGAGAGGTAATTAGATGAGGTTGATAGAAAACAGTCCTGGGTTCAAATCCTGCCTGTGACATACACTTTTATATGACTGTGGCCAGGTCTCTAAGACTCTAAGGTACAGAACAGGTACTGATCTTCATTGATAGAGGGAGTTTCCTTACCAAGGGCCCTTTACATCAATGAAATCATAGATCCAACTTAAAAAAAAAAGGAAAAAAAAGTAGATTGTAAGTTCCTTGAGGGCAGAAACCTTTTCAATTTAAAAAAAATCTCTCTATCCTTATTGTAAGGCAGAACTTTGTACACAGAAGGCACTTACTAAATGTGTATAGAGTTTTCAGTGCTTTGCACTCAGCAGATACTTAATTAATGTTTGAATTGAATGACAGGTGCAATGTCCAAGATACCTGCCCCTGAGTCCTGCCATCTTTCACTATCTGGTTCCTCATTACTGAAGATATTGGAGTAGAGGTTAAAGGACTACTTGTTGAGGGATATCTTGCAAGGCATTCATGCTTCCAACAGGGATACATGCTTCCAACTAGATACAATTGAACAAGCATTTATTAAATGCCTACTACATAATTTATTAAGTACCTACGTAGTTGTACAAGACATTGGGGTAGGTTCCATGGATACAAAGGGTAGAGGGGAATAGAGACTAGAGCTATAATTTCACTGGTAGAGGGAATGTGAATTCTCCCTCTACCAAGGGAGGTCAAACCTTTCTCTGAAACTTAGAGGCCTGCCCAGAGCACTGCAAGGTGAAGGGACAATCAAAGCCAAGGTGCATCAGAGGTAGAACTGGACCCAGATCTTCCTGGGTCCAAGACCAGCTTTCTATCTACTACATTACTCTATCTCTTGGGAATGCAAAGACAAATTGGAAAACAATCCCTGCCTTCAAGGAGTTTGTAGTCTTTCCTTCCAATAAGTTGTCTTAATGGGTATTTTAGGATCCAGAATGATGGAGGTAGTGGGCCTGCTGCTCTCTGCTCTGGTCAGACGGCAGCTAGAGTTTAGTTCCTTCAAAATGGAACACAAGAGCTCCAAAGCCAAATAGAGAGGAAAAAAGTTGGTTTTCCATTATTTTGGATTATTCATTGGTGTCAATTGGTGACACCTTCCATTGGTTTCAATCATCTGAGAGTTAGTTGTATTCAATTTTCCTAACAGTGATATTCTCAAAACTGGCAGGGATATAGGTGTATGGTCTTCAGTCGGGGGAATGCTGCTTGCTCATGTCCCACCCTATATTTCCTTTTTCTATCTCATCCTTTCTTCTTTTCCTTCTTCTCTTTCCTACCTCCATCTCTGCTTCCTTTCTTGTCTTTCCTTTTCTTTCCTTTCCTTTTCTTTCCTTTCCTTCTTTCCTTTTCTTTCCTTTCCTTCCTTCCTTCCTTCCTTCCTTCCTTTCTTTCTTTCTTTCTTTCTTTCTTTCTTTCTTTCTTTCTTCCTTCCTTCCTTCCTTCCTTCCCTCCTTCCTTTCTTTCTTTCTTCCATCCTTCCTTCCTTTCTTTCTTTCTTTCTTTCTTTCTTTCTTTCTTTCTTTCTTTCTTTCTTTCTTTCTTTCTTTCTTTCTTTCTTTCTTTCTTTCTTCCTTCCTTCCTTCCTTTCTTTCTTTCTTCCTTCCTTCCTTTCTTTCTTTCTTTCTTTC